TAAACATCCGCGGTCTAATTATTATTCTAATTACTTTTTTTTTTGTAGCAAGTCGAGACTTGAAAGTAGCAGAGAAGACGTTTGTCGCGAGACGTTTTTTTTTTTTTTTTTTTTTTTTTTTTTTTGCATGACACAGTAATCGGTTCTTTTTTTTGTAAAAAATGTAGTCTGTATTATTTGCATGCTTCCAACTCGCTTCCAAAGTATGCGCTCGATTTTATATTACACATAGGCATATAAATATAAATAAATAATTTGTGTTTTCACATTTGTGATCTCTCGCCGGTCGGAGAAGATGAATTCTGCTTTTTTTTTTTTTTTTGTTTCGTCCGCTTTTCCGACCGCGTGGAGTTGTAAACAAAGTGTCGAGTTCGTTTTCACTACGTGTGAATTTTTTGAATTATTATTTTTTGTTTTTGTTTACGTTTTTCTCGCGCGAGAAACGATCCGCGCGAAGCGATGAAAAAATTCGATCGGAATCGTTTGTGGGTTGCTGGCAACTTTACGTGACAGGTCTTTGCATTCGGATTTTTACTCATAGCGAAACGATGCGACAACTTTTTTTTTGCATGCGAAGATTAATTGCCCCGATGATGTGCGGATAACAAGCGTTGTTTTTTACAACAGATTTTCGCAACAGACTACAGAAAGTTTGCGCTTTTGAAACTTTTTGTTGACGATGTGTGTTTTTCGTTTTTCTCTTGTGTTAATCGTTCGAGAGTGTGTTTCTTGCAATTTCGTGCTTACCACGCAACAATTTTGACATAGAGCATTTTGGCGCTGATGAAATTTAATAATCCAGCGACAAAAAAAAAAAAAAAAAAAAAACACTGACCGAAGTCCGTCCTGTGTGCGGCATGATTGCGATTGCGGGATGTAATTTTAGAAATGATCGATTGTACAAAGATTGTTGCAACGAACGCTTGTGTTTTCTAGGCCACCGTCGAGGAAGATCTCGCTTCCTTGCAAGCAAGAATTTCGAATCTCGAGAGAACGATGGGTTCCTTACCTCAGGACAGCATAGAATCCATGCTGTCTTCTCTCACGGTAAGAACACCGAGATCGACAAGTTCGCGGAGATGTAGAATTTTTTCTAACGAAATGTTAGTTTCACGTAATTGAGATGACGCACTCGAGTAAAATCGAAAAGTCAATCTATTTGCACACACAGTGTCCAACGCGATTCACATCAACAAGAAATCTCAGATGAGCATATAAATCGGTTGTTGAATAATTAAATATAATAATTAAATATAATGTTGAATAATTAAATATAAATTTATATCGTATTTAAACGTCCTTCAATCTGGATCATAAATTCTTTTTCATTGTATTTTAATTTGTTTTTTTATTGTATTTTAATTTGTTTCATCGAGCCGTTATTAATATTAATTAAATGTAAATGTTTCTTTTAATCAAATTAAAAACAGAACGTGTCTACCTGTACTGGATCTTCATCAACTACAAAAAAAACTACAGTTAAGAGAATTACAATCAATTTAACGAGTGGGTTTTTTACTTGTAAACATGTAAATTAACATTCGGAGATGTTTTTCAGGGTTTGAACCGCGTCAGTGTCACCCTTACACCGACGTTTCGTGAACATTTCAGCTCACTTCGTCACAGGGTTTCAAGAGCAGACTGACGTATCAGTTATAAAAATGACACTAACGCGATTCAAACCCGTGAAAAACATCTTCGAATGTTAATACAACACACCGCGTCAAATATCAGAACGCGTAAATTAATTTTGTAATTTGTTTTATATAATTTCTCTTGACTGTAATATTTTTATATAAATTATTTTCGTACAGAAGACCCGGTGGAAAAAACGTTCTACGATGTTTGATTAATTGTTTAACATCTAGTTTGTGATCGTTCCCTTTGTTAATATTTGCGTTGGACATTGAAGAAAAATATTGCCGATATTTTCGACACACATCAGATGCAATGAAAATAAATTTCGCAGGCTGTACTCACGGATCTTCGCGCCTACGACAACGAGGTCGCGCAACTCCAGAAGAAATTGCGCGAGATTCCTGCCGACAGCGAGTCTCAAAAACTCTTGACGGCTTTGACGGGGATTCACGCGCGTCTTGCCGATCTTCTCGATCAGGCGGAAGCGGGACGAGCGACGCTCGAACGGGCGCGGGCGAGTCAGGAAAATCGCGAGAAACAGCTCTGCGCTTACAAGCTGTTCCTCGAGGAGACCGACGTTTGGCTGAGAAACGTTACGTCGAAATTACACGAGCAACATTCGTTCAACACCAACAAGGTCTGTGTTTTGTTGGATCGGAACATCGGCGCATCTTTTCTCGTTTTTTTTTTTTTTTTTTTTTTTTTGCACTAAATTATTTAATTAAATTTTGTTGATTTTTTCCGCGCGAATTTTAACGCCGATGATTTCCCGACAGCTTTTGCAGGAAGAATTGACGAATCGCGCGCAACGAATATCGGAACACGAATCGTTGCCGGAAGTTAGCGCGCTGGCGACGAAATTGAAGGAAGCTCTCTTGGACGTGATCAATCGTCTTCAGCAAAAGCAGCAGGTACCCAACGCTTTTCAGAGCTCGGGGGCTTTCGCAAACGTCGCTCTCTTAGGTGCTACCGTCGCTTAATTGGGCAGTGGTTTTCGGGAAAGTCGGTGTCTTCAGTTTCTTATTTAAAAAAAAAAAAAACTTACTTAAGAGGCTTGCAAATTGCGGTTATTACAAAGCTCACGTCGTACGCGTTTTTAAAGACGCAATTTTTTTTACAATCAAAGAGTTTTCGAATTTGACATTCGAATCTTGTTTCTTCGAGTAAAATTCCGATGTGTAACTTCGCGAACAGTTTTTTCTTTCGTGAAAAAGCTTTGTAGTAAGCGACAATGTAAAAACGACGCAAATGTCAAACACAGTACAAGCGTTCTACTAGTCATCATGCTTAAAAAAAAAAAAAACGCACACGCACACACATTCGTAACCACTCACAGAGTTTTCCAGACTGGGAAAATTCTGCGTGACGGTGCGAATTGGAGACTGGTGATACACACATTACGCTCTGTAAAATGTGCCGTCTTGGAATACACCGCTTGAGATACATTTTTGCACGCTTACAACGTACTTAGAGATAATATTTATATGTAGTGAAGAGCGCATTTAATTCTTCTGGGTATATTTTTTTTTCTTCTTCTTTTTTTCTTTCACACCGTCGTCATCGAGAGAACACACACGTTGGGCCACTCATCCTCAAGCACACACTGATTGCCACACGTTACTTGTATAAGTGTCACACGTATGTTATCTCTTGGGTCACACACACACACACACATGAACACGCTGTACATTATTTGTATCATTGTTAGTACTATTATATACGTTTATCTTAAGGTGATAAATGTAATATAGGCCATATTGCATGTACTTAAGGAATGTTAATACATTACTGTGTAATATTTCATGTAATTAAAGAAATTCTCTTCATTAATGTCCCAACCCTTGTATCTTCCATCATGTGTTAATCATTGCGGATCATGTACATCATACTTGGCGACGTATATTGACATACATATAACAATGTTGAGTAATAATATCTTCTCAAGTATGTAAACGTAGTTGCGTACTTGTTAATATTTCGCAAAAGAATTGTATGGTTTATTTTGCAAAATAAATGTTTATGCGAACTTTTTTTTTTTACCGGGGTCTAAAAACAACTTACCAAATTATCGTGTTTGTGTTGCAATCCATCGCTTTTTATTAAAAAAAAAAAGATAGACTTAGAGTTGCATCGTAAAAATAAATAAAACTTATTACCGAATTGTAACAAAAAATTAAATCAAACATATTGCCGTGTCCCCAAACACACAATAATTCTAATTTAATTATTTTTACTTACTGTGAAAAAACTAATATCGCAACACTCCTCGTTTATCTTTTTTGTCAATAAAAAAATAATGTATTTTCTAAATATCAAGAAATAAATGGCTACGATACTTTGGGGTTTGGATTTAAAAATCTCAGAGTCAATGGTGTGTGTCTCTGTCCTCGTAGGAAATTTGTGACGAGGAGGCTCGGGCCGATGACGAGTCGACAGAAAGAGACAATGCCACTCTAGACGAGGCGCCTTCGATACACTCGTCTTTGGAAGACGATCAGCCGTCTATGGCCGACGTCTCCTTGCAGACGGGTCGGAGTTTGTTGATCGACGACGTCGAGAAAAAAACACGGCTCACAAAACAAACGTCAACGACGCAGATGCCGACGTTGTCGCCACCCGCGTGTCATTCTCTCATGACCCAAACGACGCAGGTCTCGTTACCGTGCGAAAACGTTCAAACGCAGGAGGCCATAAAGGTTCTGAAGACCACGAATAACGATCAGGACGTAATTGAGATCGCGACCAAGTACGTGCCGTCCAGTCAAGAGACAACTTATCAGGAACAAACCGACGTTCCGACTGGCGACGACATCGTCGTCGACATGAAGTATCAGGACGCGAAGAAGACCGACAGTTCGACGAGCGAGTTGAACATCGTTCACGTTGCGCCGCAATCCTTCGAGACGGTTCTGGTCGAACCGGACGACGTCATCACCGAGGTGGTCGTCGACGCGGACGGCACGAAGAGGATCATAGTGCGAAAATTGCGACGTACCACCACGGTCAGACAGACCACGCAGCAACGTGTGTCGTCGTCCGCGCAGTCGGCGACGGGCTCGCCGATGATTCAAGCGTACTCGGAGGCCGCGATGAGAGATCAACAAGTCACCGTGACCCGAACGAGACCGGACGGCACTATCGAGACCACGACGAAACAAGTTTACGGCGGCAGAGTCACCACTAACGCTCCCGCCGAAGGTATCAATGTGGAAGAATACGAATCCGAGCCTCGTTTTACGCGCATGGTGACGCAGGGCCAGATAGAAGACATCCAGCCGGCCGAGGAGGAGATGTTGACGGACGGCAAGTATCAAACGAGAACGTCGAGCGTTCACGCGGTGGTGCAGCAAGTCACCAGGCGAATCATCAAGAGAACGCGCAAAATCATTCGCAAGGTTACCATCATTGACGGTAAAGAGGTCACCACCGAGGAGGTGATCGAGGAACCCGAAGAGGTGGAAATAGACGAGCAGAACATACCGCACATCAGTATCAACGTGGTGAAGAGCGAGGATCAGAAGACGATAACGTTGTCGGAAAAAGATAAACAAGAAGCAGAAACAAAACCGGAGACTTGCGTTACCGGCAGTCCGGTTCAGGGACCGTTCTTCGGCCCGTTCGCTAAGGATATGGTGAGCGCGCGAGAAACCGAAGAGCTGATGACCGTAGCGGAAGGAAACGTTATGACGAAAGTGAAAACGTTAGAAATTGATAATAAAGAAGAACCTGCGATCGAAGCGGCGGCTGACAAAGCGGAAATCGAGGATTCCGCGCGAATGATAGAGCGGGAAAAAACGCTTCTCTCAGAACGCACCGGAGCGGAATCAGAACTTGCGGCTGCTGATGAAGCTAACGAGGACGTTTCTGTCGAAGTGCGAGATACAGCGCCGAAGGAAGAAGCAAAGTCGCCGACGGCGCGCGAAGACAAAGACGAAGAAACTTTTCCAACTGAGGTAAATGGCGTTACGCGCGACATCAATCAAACCCCGATTGACGCTGAACGGTCTTCTACCGTTTTGCAGACTCCCGTCGAAGAAACACAACCGGAATCTCCGCCGGCCGATGACGAACCGGCGATTGCCAAGACCACTTGTAAGTCTGACGATGATGCACCAGTAAAGAGCGAAGCGTTGAGTATCGAGCTAGAAAATGGCACGGTAGAAGTAGAGATGCACCAAGATGATAGAGGCACTGTAGAAGCTGATAAAGATGTATCCGATGTTGTTGTGTTAGAAAAAGAAGAGAGAAAGAAAGACGAATCGCGACTCGAACGCGACTCCAAGGGCGAGGAAGACGCAGCGACGTTGCTTGAAAAAGCGCACAAAAGCGAATTGATCGTTTCGCGTCTCGATAAACCTGACGAACCGATCATTTCGGAGAGCGCGGAAACACCTGCCGAGAAACGAGAAAACGTTTCCCCGGAATTGCTCGCTAAGGAAAAGGAGGAGGAAGACAGTTGCAAGGACGAGGCGCTCAAACCGGAATACAAACCGGTGTTTCACAAGCTCGAGATCTCACTGGCCGTGCGCAACGAGGACGAGGAAACGGAACCGCTTGTGTCCATTAGAACCCAAGCAGAACGACCCGAGATCGCTCCGTACAGCATCGTCAGGGAGGACGTGGACATCAGTCTACCGGCTGACAGGGAAATCATGGAAGTGATACACGACAAGATCGTGCAAACCGCGTTTCTCACGGCCGAGAAGCAAACGGAAACCGCTCAGCGACATGTGGCCACGATGGAGAAGGAGATCAACGTCAACATCGAATCGGAAAAGAGCAGATCGTCGATCGATTCCGCGAGTCACAAGAGCAGAAAAAAGAAACGTCACAAGACGACAAAATCTTTGGAAAAAACTGAAGAGGATACTGACGAATCCAGTTCTTCCGTTCCCACGTCGATCGTCGAATCCATGGAGATCAACATCTCATTGTCGGATTCGTCGTCGAAACAGATTATTAGCGAGCAACCGCAACCGGACGTAACGGAGATCGTGAAACCGGTCACCGAATCGTCGCCGATTACGTTGACGACCAACGAAACCGCGACCGAGAACGGATATCAACCGGACGATAAGATTCTGGACGAGTTGTCGGTCGAGCCTGAGGATAAAGACAGCGCGAAGAAGAAGAGAAAGAAGAAGAAGAAGCAGAACGTTCGGTTCGACCGAGACGACAATTTGACTCCGCTGCCCAGGACCAGCAGCGACGACGCAACGTTCACGACTGACGACAGTCTTCCTCTGGAGGTTCCCAAATTGGAAGAAATGATTGAACAGGATAAAACGAAGGACGACGTAGAAGAAGACAATGATGAAATACTGGAAGATAAAAAATTAGAAGAGAAAGTCGAACTACGAGAAGAGGATAAGCGTGAAATCGCGCTGGACGACGCGAACACTCAGACAACTATCGAGACGTGCGACGCGTCGACTTCGCTCACCCCGAAAACGGACGAGGAGAGGATCCTGTCCACGTTCATGCAAACGTCTCCCGAACCGATTCCGCTCACGTTGGAGGAAGAGATTCAAACGGCCAAGACCGAGGAAATTCACATCGAGACGCAAACGGTCGCGGAATCCGGACTCGATTTCAGCACGCAGACCGTTGACGAAGAAACGCCGCAAGTTGAAGACTCGGGCGTTCAAACTGCTACACCCACAATGATACCGACGGAAGACTTCGCTGCGCAAACCGTTTCACCGGACGACACTCCCACGATCGTCCCCGCAACGGAAACGGAAGATTTTCAAGCGCAAACGATCGAGATCGACGTTCTGTCCACGGAAATGCAAACTTCACCGATCGAATTAGCTCCGATGATAGCGACGGAAACTCAAACGCCGGTGAACACCGTGATGGAAATTGAACAACAGACCACACCGCCACCGGATAAAGTCGTCGTGCAGGAAACGGTTACTCAAACGTTGTCTCCCGAGGTGCCGGAACGTTCGGAGAAGAACGTGCAGACGAGCGCGCCAATCAGTCCGGAGCAACCGGACGTTTCGGACGTGAACACACAAACGATCGCGTCCGCGGAATCGAACACGGAAACTCAAACAACGCCCAAGGATAGTCCGCGAAAAGCGGAGGTGCAGGAGAGCGAAATGCAAACGAAATCGCCCGAACCGACCAAAGAGACGACGATGCAGACAAGTCCGATCGTAAGTCCGGAACCTGTGCCGGTTTGCGAAGAATCTGCTCAAACCAGTCTCGAAGAGGTGAAAGAAACCACCGAGGAAGAGTCGCAGACCAGTTCTCCGCGAAAAACTCCGACCTTGGACAGTTCGGTGCAAATAAAAACCGAAGAGCTGATATCTCGGGTCGAGGAGAGCACGCAGAACATTCCCGAAACGTGTGAAATAAGCGCGCAAACTTTGCCAAACGAAGAGAAGCAACCGGTCGAGACGGTGTCGGTGTCACAACAAACCGTGCGAGTTCCAACTTGCAGCGTTGTCGTGTCCACGGACAGTTTGGAGATGGAAAAGCCGAAGGTTGACGAAGACACGCGCGAAACATTCGATTCGGCGGAAGCTGTTCTCGCGGAAGATACAAAAGAGGAAGTTGCGTCTAAACAATTAACAGACACTCCAGCAGCACCTGATGTACAAGTACTAGAAATCGTGAGTTTACCGGAGGAAGATAAGGTAAGCGATGCGAAGACTGTGGTTGACACCGAGCCTGTGTCAGAAATCATCAAGATTTCGAAAGAAGACGTTGAAGAAACGGAAACTTGGTCTCAAAAAGAAACGAGATCTCAAATTCCTGAAAAATCTCCAACGGAAGTTAGTCCAAGACCGTTGGATGTTGTACAGACAAAAGAATCCACGCCGTTCTTATCGGACAAGGAATCGTCGACCCCGGATACGTCGCTCGAGATCCACGTTCGCGCGACCATAGAATTGTCCGGCACCGACACGCTCGACAGTGTCGCATCTTGCGACAATCAAGAAACTATTACCGAAGAAACTACCACTTCGCAGGACACAACAATTGCCGAGAGTCTCAACGACGACAACGTCGCGCCATCGTTGGATGGCGCGAAAGTCGTGAAGCGACAAAAACGAAAGAGAAAACACAAGATCGCGGAGATCACCAGCGTGCCAAGAGACAATCAAGATCTCGAGTCGATATTCGGACAAGTCGTGGAGTCGCAGAACGTAGCGATGAAACTGTCTTACTCGGACGTTGCCAAGAAGAACGTCAGCCGGCAAACGTCTCCGAAAGATGGCGACGTGTTGGACGACACGGTGCCCGAACGCTCGCTTGACAATATGTCTCAGGTGAAACCGGACGATGCCGCGTCGAGAACTGTGATAGAGATCGCGAGAGAAGATGGAGAAGACATTCGAAAACCATCAGATACCTCAGTTATCTCGCAGACGATGGAATCTGCGAGCGATCAGTTCCTGAACAACTCGAATCACAACATTCCAGAAGCAAGTTCCGTGGGAGCGACGCCATTCGCGTCCGGCAGACCGAAGATCGAGTTGTTGCAAATGTCGTCGGACCAGTCCAAGTTGTCCGACGTTGTTGGTCGCACGCGATCATCGCCCGAACCCATGGACACCACCGAGGAGCCGCTGACGCCAACGGAAATCGAACAACCTAGTCTGAGTAAGGAAACCGTCAAGCCACCACCGTCGTCATTCCAGACGGAAGTCAAAACCTACGCTGAAGTTATATCGGAATCGCAGAAAAAACCTACAACCTCGTCTGGTCTCGTCAAATCGTGCGAGAAGAAAGAAACCCACACGCGGAAAGAGTCTTCGGAGCACGGAGCCAAACCGCAGGGAACGCCGACGATGCAGGCGAAACTAGTTACGGACAGAGTGAAGAATCTACAGAACTCGAACGATATGAGTTATCTGGGCAACATCTTGCACATCGCGCATTTGGAGGAAGTGACCACGGAAAAAGTCGCGGAAGAACGTTCGTCGGACGTTCGCAGAGAACTGACTCAGTTGAAAGCCGCGATTGACGAAAACGACATGGTGATCGTCGAGGAAACTCTGATTACCGTGGTCGAAACGATCTCGACCTGGTTGGAAACGATCGAGTATCGAATCTTTTTGAACAGAGAGTGTCCGACCGGACCGTCTCACGAGGATACCAGAACGTTCGTCAAGTTGAAGGACGAGGTTAATCACGTGGAGGAAAATATTCGCGAGCTCGACGACATTTGGAAGCGAGTGGAACCGAATTATTCGGACGAGGAGCGAAAGAAGCTGCGGGAATGCGTGAACGCTCTCGAGCATCAGGTGAGGATAATCGAGCACGTAACTGCCGACGAGGAAAATCACGTTAGCACGCAACTCGCGAGATGGGACGAATTTTTGAACGGCGTCAACAATGTGTACAGGTGAGAATTGTGATTCCGTTCTGTTTTTTTTTTTCCCCCCCGAACACACGAAGTTTCTTATCTAATTTTGATTTTTTTCTACTGATTTTTTAATTTAACTTTTTTTGTGTTTACATTAGATTGGTTGAGGAGCAACGCAAACAGCTCGATCGCATAATCGAAAGCGAATATTCCACGCAATGGAAGCTGCAGGAACTCGATAAACTCGAGAACACGAATCGTTGCCACATGTGGAAGACGAGCGAACTTCTGAACGCCGCTCACGGATTGTTGCGCAATCATCCCGGCAAGATAATACCCGAGGAAACTTACGCAGCTCACGAAATGACGAAGATCATAGATTACAGCGTGTGCGTCGAACGAGAACGTCTTCTTCAATTGCTCGCTCTGGCCGAGGAATACGAGCAAACGCTTCGAGAGTTCGCCCAAATCACGGAGATAGCCGAAAATCTGCTGGACAGTCCGATATCCGTGATGAGTCTGGAACATCTTCAGGAAGAAATGCAGAAGCATCGAAAGTTCTTCGTCAATCTGAATCATTGCCGCGCGATTCTCGAGTCGCTGGAAGGCAACCTGGACCCGGAGACCAGAGCCAAACACTCCGATCTTCACGAGGAACTTCATGGCAAGGCGACGGCTTTGCTCGATCAGGCGGCTTCGAGGGCGCAACAAATGGCCCTGGCCGCGTCGCGATGGATAGTGCTCGAACAAGGTGTGAAGGAAGAGAGAGGATGGCTTCAGGTCGCGCATCAGCGTGTTCCCGATCTTCAAACAGTGACTTCGATCGATTACGATCAATACATTTCCTTGTATCAGGTTAGCAAATATAAGTTCAATTTCAAATAACCGTTGAAGATGCGTGAATGAAAATGTTTTATAATAATTTGATTAATTAGAGCCTCATTTAAAAGATTTTTTTTTTTTGTTAATTGCAACTTCAAACAACTTGCTCTGGTTTTAGTCTCTGTCTTCGGACGTAGCGACTCATCACGCGCGATTGATTAAATTGCTCGGCGTGGCACGTGGTCTTCGCGATCTCATCAATATCGAAGACCCCGAGGATCGATACAGCGAGGCTTTGGACGTGATCGTGCGACTCCAGGACGACATCAAGTCGTCTCTAAGAAAACTACTGGCTTTCAGAGAAAAGTGGATCAATCAGGAAACGTTGACGAATCGCGTGGAACACTGGATGACCACGGCCGAGAAGGAGCTCGCCACGTTAAAAGCTCCGTCAGGAAGTTCAATGCGTCAGTTTTGGGTAAAAATGCGCTTTTTTTTCTATCTTTTATCTTTTTTAAAAGATCTTTTTTTTTCTAACATTTTAATAAGAATATCAAAACAATAGATAATTAAAACAAAAGTAACTCTAAAAAATTAATAAATATAGTAGATTTTCGTGATTACGGTATATATATATATATATATATATATATATATATATATATATATATATAACAAAAATGTTTTTCTTTCTTTAATTTGTGAGTCGTAAATATTTTTATTAAAATACGCGATAAATAAAAAAACTTACATTACAAATAAATGCGTGAATATTCATGGAGAAATTTTCATCAAAGTGAAATAACAAAAATTTTTTTCTTTCTTTAATTTGTGAGTCGTAAATATTTTTATTAAAATACGCGCGATAAATAAAAAAACTTACATTACAAATAAATGCGTGAATATTCATGGAGAAATTTTCATAAAAGTGAAATAACAAAAATTTTTCTCTTTCTTTAATTTGTGAGTCGTAAATATTTTTATTAAAATACGCGATAAATAAAAAAAACTTACATTTCAAATAAATGCGTGAATATTCATGGAGAGATTTTCATAAAAGTAAAATAACAAAAATTTTTTTCTTTCTTTAATTTGCGACTCGTAAATAATTTTTATTGAAGTTACAAATGTAATTTCTTTCTAGATAAATAATCTCCGTGATCGTAAATAATATAATCTATCGTTAAAATAACGTAAAGAAGGAATTTTATTCAATTGTTTGCTTCGAAAAAGAATTTGATTGAATCGCGGAGTCTCAAAATACAATTGACGCATCGAGCTCGATTCTCTCTATCGTGAAAATAACGTTCCACGTGTTCGTGACTTTTGTCACATTTTTCAGGAATTGAAAGCGCAATACGAGGTCTACAACAACATGCGCAACGAGGCGGACAACTGCTTCGAGCAGGCTCTGCGAATCGTGCCGTTGTCGGACGAGATGTTGCAACGTCAGTTTCACTACGAGTTGCAGGATCGTTGGAACGACGTGAGCGACAGAATCAACGAGATTCAGAAGGACATAACTCGCACCATATCCTCGGAAGACATCTCGTCGAACGAGAAGCTGAAAATGCTCGAGCGAGAACTGAACGAATTGCGAATGACCATCAACGGTTTTCACGGCGTGCTGAAGACGGAAGAGGAACTCGATCTGTACGTCGAGCGACTCACTGTGCTGTTCGACAGAATCGTCGTTATTCAGGACGAGATAGGTCGACTTGGTCTGCTGCCGGCCGCGGAGAGCGAGAGAGTTGGAATCTTGCTGTCGTCGGCTCGCTGTATAGAGGGACAGATAGGCGAGGAATTGGACTCGGCGCAATTGCTCAGAGAAAAGATTCAGGCTCTGAAACGCGGACTCGGTCGTTTCAGAAAAGCTCACGAGAGATTGTCGGCGATACTTGATCAGTGCGAGAGCAGCGAGAAGCAGGAGAGCGACTTGGTGGCCGCGGCGGTGGATCGTTGCCAATCGGTCGCCAACGAGCTGATGGGCCTCTGGCAGGATCTGATGGCGCTGAGACAGATGCTGCACAATTTGCCGACCGGCATGAGAGTGACGGTGTCGCCGGTTGGCATAGAGAGAGATCTATCCAACATACAGGACACGCACACCGAACTCGAGTCGAGATGCGCTCGTCTGCTCTCGCTTCTGACGAACAGACTGGAAATGTGGCGACGATTCGAGAGACAGCTCGAACTGGTGCAACAATCCGTTCAGGAAGCGGACTACATGATGGAGCTACTGACCGTCCAAGAGTCCGTCGACTACGACAGGTTGCTAAAGGCCACCGAACGACTCGAGGTGAGTATTACTTCTTTTAGGTTTTTAATCAATGTGTTTACTTGGAATCAGCTCAACCTCTGTTCTATATTTTCGATTATTAATTAACTTTTCGTAGGGTCACTCGAGTATTTTTAAGTTTCTATTCTCTTCGTATCTAGTTCTAACAAATAAACAATTGATTTGAACGTGTGGGAGATGTTCTCGGACCCAAGTCCGACACTTTGAAAAATAATTCTCGGCAACTATGAGCCACCAACTTATTGCCTGAAATTCCGCCGCCAAAAGGTGGCTCGTGCTTGGCGAAAGTTGTTTATTATAAATTGTTGAAATGAGAAATAAAATAAACATATTAGAAACAATTTAAAAAAAATACATATTTAACGCCACGAGGCGACTTTTTTGATTACTTTCGGTGGAAGTCATGAGTCAGAGAGATAATTCAGATCTTAAGTTCTTGTTGCAATCCCGCGATATTGTATCAGACTGATCGTGTCAATGAAAGCCGAAGTAAACATGCGTCAAGCATGGAACGAAGAAGAGTTGCGCTCTGGCGCAAGCGTTTGCGTTCCCGCCTCTCTCTCTCTCTCTCGCGCGCGCGTTATCTTACGCCGCTGCCGTCGCCGCGGTGCGCGCCTATCAGTATTGCGAGATCCGCGGTCACGTTTACGTCGGTGCTGAAAATATCTGTGAGCTCAAACTCATATCTCTCTGTGTCGAAAAAAAAAAAATAATAAAAAACGTTCTGCGTTTATCGAATTCTGAGCGCGGATAAAAAACGCGCGAGAGATTATTCGAAAGAAGAAGACGCGAATTTTCGAAAATTTTTGAGGCCTCAGAATGCGACGAACATTCTGAGGCCTCGGCGATATTTTCTCCGCGACCCTTCGTCGCTGGAATTTCACAACACAAGGACGGGATACAATAAATAGCTTCAAGGTAAAACCAAACGGTCGGGCGCGTTTCCGCTTTGCCGCGAGTCCGCGTTGCGCGCACGAAGAGGAGAAACATTTCGGAGAGAGAATTTTTCCGAAGGAACTCGCCGCACGCGTAGAGAGAGAGAGTCAAAAGTTACAACAAATAAACACACACACCGCGTTGTTTGTTTTTTTTCCGATGACCTGCCGCGAACACGTGAGACGGTGCGATGAAGTGAGAAGAAGTGATAATGGAATTAAATGTCTCTCTATTTCTCTCTGTCTGCAAATAATATCTCGAACGATCGGAAATGAAATATAACGGATACTGCGGTTCACGAGGTCTATTTTGTTGACGCTCTATCGCATACAAAAAAGAAACGTGCATGTGCGTTCACGCGATAGCCACAAAAGGAAACCGGATGTTCGCGTAGCCGACGTTCTTCCGCGCGTGTGTGCGCTCCGATCAAATACCACAATATGATAAAAAACTAACAATAATAGCGATAACGTTAACAACGATAACAACGATCCGCGCAATAATTTATAAAATATTTATTATTTTGAAAGATCGCAAACGCGGCATTTTCCACGCGCGGTGGAGAGAGAGAAAAAATGATTTCGCGCGATTACGTTCCGTCGTATGTATATTAATGTCGTCGTTATTTTGCAACGCAAATTGCACGCACATTGCGCGATTGCACAAACGGATTCTCATGTCGCACGCGCGACAATAATCGACTTCGCTCTTGCGCGTGAAAATTCACAAATACATCGAGTTCGATATTTTTGCCGGACACGCGTGATTGTGTTGCTCCTCGTCGCGATCTCTCGTCTCGCGAGAAGAGATTACAATTTTTTCCTGAGCTAAGAAATTAATGAAAAATTTTGCGGCTGAGCAGATCGTCGATTATTAAATCCCAATTGTTTTTAAGCAAAGAGAAAGTCAAGAAAAGACGAGAGAAAAAATCAACTTTCTATTTTATAATTAGCTAGACTATTAAAAGTGTCTAAATGAGTTCTTTAACGAACAGCGTTGTGGAAGATTGTGTAACGTTTGTTTTTTGCGCGCTAACAGCCGCCTATCAGCGCGGAAGAATTAATTAACTCGTTTAAGAATTTTTATTAGTTTCTTCTAATAAAATTAGCGTCGAGTGATCCCGAAGTAAATTAACTTAACGCGCCCATTTCCAGATTAACGAGAGTTTTAAAACTTGTGACTAATTTGAAGAATTAATTAATTACCTTGTTTGCGAATTTTTATTAATTGTAAGATTGAATGATATCGAAGTGAATTAATTCAATGCGCCTGTCAGATCGACGATCTTAAAGATAAATTTAAACATTTGACCATCAACCAACCGCCGTAGAAATGTAAGATTTCCTGTTAAATTATTGAAACGTGTGTCGCAAACGGAAGCAAAAATATGCAGGTCGCGTATAAAAAATTGATGGATAAGCGCATCGATGCGACAGACACGTAACGTTCGGTATTTTTTTTTTTTTTGATGTGTGTCTACCGACAAAATAATTTAAACAACGTCAGATCAATCGCAGACGTGTGTAGAATGTTATGTGAAATTTTTTGTCTCGCGACGAGACGTGCAATCGTGCGCGATGTGTTTATTCGTCAATATGCATCACCTGTGCATTAGCATATATTAAGTCTGAATATGAAGGCGTTCCGAGCAACAGGTCGTCCGTAATGAGATAACGTACGCTTTAAAAGCGAAGAAAACGGATGATGCCGCGTGCGGCAGTTTCTTTAAGCGCGCGCGGTCGCAAATCAATCGGTTATTATCAAAAAATTTTCACGCGCGATCGCGCGAAATTTGTTCAACGTTCGTTTGTTTGTCCGATGAAATATTTGTAATCTACAATATTGACGTGTAAAAAAAAAAAAGAAACAAATTTCCGCGTATGAATGTTCACTTGGAGGTGAACGAACCCGAGAGTACTTGACAAAATTAGTTGAACTACATTCGGGCCGCATTCATGCCGCAAGTCTCGAAAACCTGCCGGTCTCGTGCCGCACATTTATTTATAGTACGTTTCGAATAAACCTGACAAGTGCGCCCGCCATTTCCTCTCAATTGTCTAGCGCAAATTCAGCGGAAATGAAATCGAACGCGTTTCTCTAGAAAAAAAAAAAAAAAAAAAACTTAAATTTACGCTCAAAACTACGCGTGAACTAATTGGTGCGTTTGACGTTTATTATTTTTTATCGTCGATATTGATTGTCTATGTAATTCCAATTTTTAATCAACAACAATTTGTGTGGGAAGAACAGTCCCTCGTTTGCGGACAAATTCTGTATTTACTTAATTATAAAAAATCATATATAATTAATAATATATATAATAATATAATTAATAAAGTTATATATTATATATAGAGTATATTATATAAATTAAAAACAATTTTTATATATTTTTATGTATTGTTATATTTTGGGAAGAACAGTTACTCGTATGCGGACAAATTCTATATATTTACTTAATTATAAAATAATATATAATTAATAATATATACAATATAATATAATTAATAAAAAGTTATATATTGCATACAGTATATTATATAAATTAAAAGCAATTTTTGTATATTTATTATATATATATTTGTTATATATTTGGTTTTTCTATATTAATTATATTATTTATTGGTTATTTATTAATTATATGATATACTACATTTAGCAACAAAAAATATATAAATTATTTATAATCTCATATATTTAACGCTGAGCTGCTCATGCGCGATTGTATTTTTAATCTCGCACGTAACCAGATATAAAAAAATATGAAATTTGTCCATGTATGTGTGAAGGACTTTCCCCGAGAAAACACACACACTATTGTTAGATAACATTGTTGTTTTCTGACACTTAGGTCAAACTACGTCTTTTTTTTTTTTTTTTTTTTATTATTTGCTCAGAAGATATCGAATCGAATGTGTTCGGAGTCATTTTGGAAATATTTGTGTTTTTTTGTCTTCAGGGTCTGAGCGGCGATTTGGGCGCCCGAGAAGTTCTCGTTGGCGAATTACGTGCCGCGGCCGAGCCTCTGCGGGAGAGCTGCGCCGCAGAGGTCCGCGAGAGGGTCGACGCGGCGGTAAACGAGGCCGTGCAAGCCTGGGAGGACACGAGGGCCGAATTGGACGCCCTTTGTACTAAATATCAGCACGCATGCAGACTCTGGCAGCAATACAGAGATTCCAGCGCCGCGGTGAAGGCCTGGGTGGACGTTCAGATGAACAGCATGGCAAATTTGCCACCGGAAGAAGCGGCCAAACAAGTCAAGGTAATGACGACGACGACGATCGTTCAAATCACACGCCAATGAAACGCAAATTCAATTCGCGAGGTTCGAACTCACATTTCACTTTCGCGCGCCGCTATCGGGATGGCGGAAGACACACGCGCTGAAAGACATGCCGCTAAGTGGCGAGCAAATAGATCTCTCGCGTCCTTCGCGAGGTGATTAGAAATTCACGTTACGCAAATGAGTGTTTTCGAACGAATGTTTTAAAACGAGAAAAAAGTGTTTTAATAAAAATCCTCATCTTTCTTCGTCTTTCCTCAGAATTCGAATTGTGACTCATCACGTGTTGCGTAAACAATACGAATGTGACAATTAGAGTCCTCAGAGCTCGGCGGCAATTACAATAAAACACGATAACTACAAGTACGTTTTACAAAAAAAATCGCAACAACGAATCGATCGAACGATGCGCTTTGCAAAATAAAAATAAAAAAAAAAATCCATTTCTTCATCGACAAATATAGACGTTACGTGACGCTCGAAGATGCGAAATTTTTATTATCAGGTTGACGCAACACGGATAATTGCGGATTTTTTATTATTCAACAAATAACAAAAAAACCGCACTTATTGTTGCATCAGTCTGTAATATTTATTTATTTCAAAACAATTATTGAAACATCAGTGCAACGTGTGTGCGAACAACTTGAGATAACAAACAGATATGGAATCAAAAATTAATTATAAAAAAAAAATTTAATTTATTTTATTTCACTAATTTGTTGTAAAAGAAAAACAACAAACGAACAAACAAAATGAAAGTAAACATTAATTATCAGATTATGAATTCGAACGCATTTCGAGATCGCGTTCCGCGCGCGGAATCGGAGCGAGGGAGTGTTTTTTTAATTTTTTTTTTTTTTATTTATTCCCCCTCCGCAAATGTATTATAAAACGAGTGTGGAAGAGATCGACACGTGCAACAGACGCGCTTTCATCCCTTGAAATGGGAAAAGCGCGTGATGTCATCAACCTCGAACACACGCGCGCGAACTGCCAGAGAGACTGTCAAGAGTTTCTTGTGTTAGACGCGCAAGAAACGAACGGGAGAGAAGAGACTCGACCACCACCACCACCACCACCATCATCATCATCGCCCTTCGCACACACGCTCGCTCGCTATAGGCGTGTCAGCTGGCAGGGGTGGGTTCGCGGAGAAAATACGGGGCAAGAGGGCGACGAACGGCACCGCGCATCGATCCTCGGGTGTCTACGTCAGTAGTCTGGTCCAGGGTGTTGCGACGTTCGCAGCATCCGCGTTCTCGTATCTCGAAAACTCCGTCCGTTCGTTCTTCTCTCGAAGTGAAATCTTGTCGCGAACGTTTTGTATCGCGATCGTTTCCGCTCGTCTCCTCGTCGAGAGAAGAAAATACGTCGGATCTTCGTTCGTTATCTCTAACGCGGCGTGAGTCATCTACGCGCGTCTGCCATGTGTTTGAGCGTCGGGAGACCTTGTGGTGTCGCACGTGTGCGTGATGACGATGTCGCGCGATGTACGATCTCTTGGACGAAAAATCTCTCGGCGAATGTCAAAAAGTGAGAAAAAAAACATGATCGACAATTCGGATTAAAAGACATGTGCACGCCGGAAGAAATAAAGGTAAAAAAAAAAAAAAAAAGAACGGACGAACGAGGAGAATGACGAGAAAAGTTTTGACTGTTCGCACGCGTGCCGCAGATTCCCGCCCCGATTATAACAACGAAAACGGAAATAACTTCGGCAAAGACGTCTGTTCGCCTCGTTCTGACGCGACGTTATATTTTACAACGTCCGCGCGCGTCTTCCTGTCGGTCTCTTCGCTATCTCGCGTGAGAACATTTTCGAAGCGGCTACGTGAACACAAACACTCGAATTAATTTATTGCGCGAGAAAATTATTGTCCCCCCCGATGGATCGTCGGAGTGTGAAAATTAATTCCTTCGCGCGGTTTTCGCCGCTTCGCAAAATTTTCTTTCCAAAAATGACAGATAAAAAGATCGTTTAGAGCGAAGAACGTTTCGATAGTGGGCAGTCACGACGAAATTAGTTCATTAATTAAAACAGTCGAAAATTTAAATTTGTGAAAAAAAATTGAAAATTAATTTTTTTTAGCACTGAGGAACATCGCGTTTTAACGAGACGTCAGCTATCAACAATTTCTTTCGTTAATTCGTTCATTAAGAAAAATTTAAATCAATGTTTAATTGCGTTCATTTTGAGATAGCGACATATAAATACATATGTTTAAAGAAAGCGACGATTGTACGGATCGGAAGAAGAACACGCTATCTGTTCTGCTGAGAGCCGTGTTTTTTTTTCTTTTTTTTTTACACAAAGACGGCACTTGCGTAAACGCGCTAAGGTCTTATATGCCTATCTCCGATAACACACGCGTGCGAACGTGAAGAAACTCCGTCTTGAGGACCGCCTCGTTCGGTCATCGATAATAAAAGAAGCCGCGACGAAAATAGATAACATTCTTCTTGGACGTGTGAAATTCTCGGACCGTCCGTTTCGGTCATCGATGAAAGTTGCCGCGGCGAGAATAGACAACATTCTCTCCGAGAATCTAATTTCGAGTTCGAAAAACGTTGATTTTATTTTAGCGCGAAAATTTTCAATAAAAGAGAGGAAACTGTTATCTCGAACTCGAATAACGTCGTGTGTTATGTAGGACGAAACCGAAGCGCGCTATGGCGAAACGGTCGAGTAATGGAGATTAAATCGATACGAGATTGCATCGCGCGAGAATGTGTTTTGCAACACATTTCGAACCTCTTCGAGTTTATTTAAAAATTATTAGAGGATTTCATAATTATCGTATACACACTTATCGATTCTTTCTCTGACCCCGCGCGAACGCGATGATTTCGCCCCGTTGTTTTTTTTTTATTTTGTTTATATCTCGACTGATCGAGGCGTCGTTTGTAAAACGACGATTTGTGCGTGAGAAGTTCGACAAGTTTCAAAATAATCACGCAGGAATTTGTTCGCCGAGCTTGCAAAGAATTTTAATAATTGAAAGTGGACATCTCTCGCCGGTGCAAAAACATTTGTCTTTGTTCTAAAATACAATTAATAATTTTTTATTATAAAATATGTGCAATCACCATAGACGTGACAATTTGTTACACCCAGTACCAATTTTTCTTTTTCAAAAAAAAAAAAAAAAACGAATCCCAAATGCCTTTGCACTTCCGACCACGTTCAGCGAATCGACTCCTCGAAGGACAATTAAATATTCAAGTGTTTTTATGAAAAAAAAAAAATATTAAACAAATAATCGCTCGTTAAATTTGATCTCAGGTTTGCGAAGAGACACTGGCGGAGCACAAGGAGAGACTGGCGGGACTGCGCGATCTGGTGGCGCAAATCGCATCGGACGTAGGTCTGGACGCCGGTGGACCGTTGCACTGTGAAGTCGAGGCGCTCGGTCAACGACTCGAGGATGTTCGAGAAACCTTGTCGACCCTCGCGGACACGGTAGACGCCCGTGTCCTCAACCAGGAACTCGCTCGCAGCGATCTGTGCCAAACGAAAAATTTCCTGGATTCGGTCCAACAGGTACGCCTCATCCTCCCTCTTCCCACCTGCTCCTCTCTATCTCCTCGGAGGAATTTCCACTGGGATGTGTCTTCCATTTTTGTTACAAAGCTACACTGATGGTCAAAGATCTTAGAAAATTTAAAATTATCTTCGCGAATGTTGTAACGAGCAAAAAAAAAACAAAATACATCTCTGATTTCCGCTCCGATCGGTCAGAGATTTTAGAGAAAATCGTCTTCGATGTGGTAGTAAATTTATTTACATCGCCTCGAAAGTGCGGCACATCCTGCGCGTCGTTTTATCCTGGCACGTGTGAAGGAAAAACAGATTCCAGGACCTTGAGGAGCGAAAGGGAATGGGGAGGGAATGAAATATTCTGTTTCTCGTATTTCTCGCAGTTTGAGAAACATTTTTCAAGGATCGATGTGCTGCACGTTTCGTCCCCGCGCGATTGCAACTTGGGAAGGTGATTGTTAAACGGCGTTAAGTCGCTTTTATTGTAGTCTGACGTCTAAAACGCGTTCTCTCTGTCTATCAGTTTCTTTGGTGCGGCGCACCATTGGTGCTTGGCACAACCTCGATCATCGTGTGCTTCGCACGCGCGCGTTTATACAATTTTAATCGCGGTAGTTTCCGAAACAATTCGTTATGTCAAGGCCGAAGGGCTTAACCCAGAGTGGGCAATTACATCAGTCACGAAATCCGCAACAGCTGAATGGCTGCAACACCCTATGTGTTTCGCAAACTACATACGTCGAAAAACTTTGAAACCTTCTGAGAAAACGGTGCCGCGACGGAATTTACGCGTCGCGACAGACACACACACACACACGGAGATAAAAGGCGATTTGAAATAATCCTTATTTGTTCAATAAGCGCACATCTGCGTCGCGTCGTTCTTTCTCGCTCACCTCCTCTTCTGTTTAGCAGAGAACAAAAAAAAAAAATTATTGCGTAGCGATCGCGTCGCAATTAATCGTCGGAGAAACGGAAGCTTCTGCGGAAGATTGCGACTGAGTCACTTCTGATTTGTATTCCATCTCGTAATCAGAGTCATTTCGCGTATAAATAAATATATAAATTAATATGTATTTAATCATCGGGTCGTTAACTATATAGAAACTTGATAAATAACATTTATGATACATATATATAATTTTATATATAATAATAATAAACTTTATATTTATATACGTGAATATAAATATTGTAAATACTTATATATAAATATTTATATATGTAAAGTTATATATTTATTTATTAACATAAGAACAGGAAAATTATCATGGCCCTTTGAAGCAAAAAACACTGATGATAATGTGTGTGTGATAGCAGCATTACTTTATTCAAGCACGTAATATATAAAACGTTTTCGGCCTTAGATTAGGCCTTTATCAATATATATATAATAATGTTGTTGTTGTTGTAAAGTAAAATAAACATTTTTTACTTTTATATTTCCAAATTGTAATCATGTGACTCGATTAAGTTTTTAATTCAAGAACAACATTATTATATATATATTGATAAAGGCCTAATCTAAGGCCGAAAACGTTTTATATATTACGTGCTTGAATAAAGTAATGCTGCTATCACACACACATTATCATCAGTGTTTTTTGTGCTTCAAAGGGCCATGATAATTTTCCTGTTCTTATGATAATTTTTTTGAAGCGTTTCTATACTCCTCTTCTTTTATTTATTAAGTTTTATACTTATACACGACCCGTATATTTAAATTTATTTAAATATATTTATTTGTATTTAAGATTAACGTTCCAATGACCGGACAAACACAATTGGCCGGATATTTCTTAAAGAAAAATAATTATAAAAATATATATAAAAAATATATATATATATATATATATATATATATATAAAAT